ATCAGAGGAACTTGATGAAATTCAACAAGGGCAAATGTAGGGTGCTGCACCTGGGGAGGAATAACCCCCTGCACCAGGACAGGTTGGGGCTGACCTCCTGGAGAGCAGCTCTGAGGAGAAAGACCTGGGAGTCCTGGTGGACAACAGGATGGCCATGAGCCAGCAATGGGCCCTTGTGGCCAAGAAGGCCAATGGCAATGGCATCCTGGGGAGCATCAGGAAGAGTGTGACCAGCAGTTGAGGAAGTTCATCCTGCCCCTCTGCTCTGCCCTGGTGAGGCCCCATCTGGAGCACTGGGACCAGTTCTGGGCCCCTCAGTTCCAGAAGGACAGGGAACTGCTGGAGAGGGAACAGCAGAGGGCTACAAAAAGGGCCTGGAGCATCTCTCTTATGAAGAAAGGCTGAGGGACTTGGGTCTTTTTAGTCTAGAGAAAAGAAGACACCCACGCTTAAAGGGTGGGTGTCAGGAGGATGGGGCCGGTCTTTTTTCAGTGGTGCCCAGTGACAGGACAATAGGTAACGGGCACAAACTTGTACATAAGAAGTTCCACCTCAACATGAGGAGGAACTTCTTTCGTGTGAGGATGGCAGAGCCCTGGCAGAGGCTGCCCAGAGAGGTGGTGGAGTCTCCATCTCTGGAGACATTCAAACCCCACCTGGACACGTTCCTGTGGGACCTGCTCTGGGTGGCCCTGCTCTGGCAGGGGGTTGGACTGGATGGTCTCCAGAGGTCCCTTCCAACCCCGTGGGATTCTGTGATTCTGTTAGGTATGTTTATAGGCCTCATCCGCTCACAGTTGTAGTGAATGGTGGAAACCATCATTTTCAGGATATTAAAACATGGAATTAATAATAGGTTAAAGAAGCCTTCAGGTCTTAAAAATATGTCCTCAGTTCCTCTGTTGATCGTACTTTGGTTTCTGCAGTAAATTTTGGTGGATTTTTATACATTAGTGATGTTAAGTTCATGATACCGAAGCAGCTATTTCTCTCAGTTCAATGTTCACCATCAGATTCAGATTAGAACTGGGGACAGTGAAGTGAAGAAGGATGTCAGATATTTCTGTATTTTTGTAAAATTGGCTTTGGAGCACAGATTAATGCCCCCAACCCCAGAGTGACATTACCATTTTTACTTTTAATGGAGAAGAGATACTAAAATCAGAAGCCCAGAGAAAGTATTGCACACAGTCTTATACATATATTCATTTTTTTTCTGCTGAAATTTCACCTTCATACCAATTTTATCGATGTAATGTGAAATACCAAATTAACGGGAGATTCCTGGACTTAATGCCCGTGATTTGTTATGCTGTGAAGAGATGCTGGCTTGTCGGGATCCCCAGCAGGTAGTTGTAAATTCTGTGAAATTAAAAACGTAACGAGAGGCTGCAAACCCCGTCGGCAGCGAGAGCGGGCAGCGTTTGGGTAACCATTGTTTCCCTGGCATCGCACACAACGGAGCATATCATTTGGGAAGCTCTGGCATCCTGGTTTTTAGGAAGGAGAGCTCTGTCTCTGCCCTTCGTGTGCAAAACCTGAATAATTGAAGTGGATCTTAATAGAATTTCAGAAAAATAGCTGGAATCGGTTCCAGCAGCGCCCGAGGCTGGAGCAGCTCCCGCCGTGTCCTCACTGGGTTACCTGCCCTGATCCCACCCCCGCTGGTGTCGAACCGCGGTGGGAAACCCCTTCCCCGTCTGCAGTGCCCTTGGCTGAGCGAGGCCGAGCAATCCGGCACAAAGAGCGCTCTGCAGAAATGCGCACTACAAGTTTTAAAACCTGTTTTGAGGAAGGCTGTAAGAATTACCCATTTTCACAAATGTGGACGTTTGGTTTTGGTTGCAGGGTTGGTTTTTTTCATTTGGGGTTTGGGGTTTTTTTTGCAAGATTTGGGTTGGTTTTGTTTTTTTTTTTTCAAGATTTGTTTTGGGACTTTTTGTCAAGACTTGTTTGTTTTTTGTTTTTTTTAACGAGTTGGTTTAATTCTGCATTTAGTTTAATATATTTACTGTTATGCACAAGACCAAGTGTAAAAAGTACTTGGGTTACTTTGAACATTTGAACTTTTTCATAGCTTTTTTTTTGGCATTCAGCTCTCACCTGTTCAGCGCTGCTTCCTGCCTCCTTAAATAGGAAGATCATATTCAGACAGTTTGCCCCTCCTCCCTGTGTCACCCTTCCCTATCCATCTCCAATTTTTTTTGTTAAGAAACAAAACAAAC